CGACTTTTCAAGAATCGCCAGGCCTTCATTTACCTCTGATGTAGATGTGTAAAGGCAGACATCGTCTGCATATTGTAATACTTTGCATCCGGGAGAACACACTCTATCCAACTCCATAACGTACACAGTATAGAGGAGGGGGCTAAGGACACATCCCTGTGGGAGGCCCTTGTGAGCCCACCTAACCTCTTCCAGATCACCGAAGCGGCACGTTACCTGCCGCTTCGACACCAGGTTGTAAATAAACTTGGCTGTCCGGGGAGGAACCCCCAAAGCAATTACCCTACTGACAAGAACATCTGCTAGCACGTTATCATAAGCGAACTGGACGTCTAGAAACGCCGCTGAGACCGCACCGTTTTCCTGAAAACTCTTAACTATTTCGCCATACAAGAGGGTAAGGTTGTCGACGCAGGATCTCTGTTTGCGAAAACCATACTGCGAGCTGGGGAGTTTGTGGTGGAACTCCAACCATCAGTTGAGACGATTAGCGACCATTCTTTCCATGGTTTTACAGAGGCAGGAAGCCAAAGAAATCGGACGGAACTTCACTCCATCCGACTTTGGAATAAAAAAGACAAAAAACTTACGCCACTCCGTTGGAAAAAACCCAGAGCACAAAACGGCATTATAAAGGTTCAAGAGTGCAGCTCTGCCCAGTGACGGCAGTTTCCTCAGCACCAGATAATCTACGTTATCCAAATCCGGGCTGGATTTGACGTTGACCCCGTCCAGGGCCACGTCAAGTTCCAGTGGGGAGAACGGTTCGTCGAGAAAGGAGTCAACACACTCATACTCGAAGGAGGGGGGGGGTGTGGGAACCCACGGTGGGCACAAGGAGTCCACCTGAGAACAGACGCGATTAACCTTATCATCAGTGTAAGCCTTATATGATTCCGTACGGTTCCATCGATACTCAAAACCTTTCACAACATTCCATACATGCGTTGGATTAGAATCTTTCCGAAGGCCGGAGCAAAACTTCCGAAAGCTGTCTAGCTTGATTTTTCGAAGATCTCTTCGAGTTTGAGCAACCTGGCGTTTGTATCTGAGGAAGTCCTCGCGTAAACCCGAAAATTTGAAGCGTGCTAGCGCCGCTTTACGCAGGCGGAGAGACCTGTCATATTCTGGCGACCACCATAAACATGGTGGGCGGCACACGGGAGGGAAACCCCCCCTGGGGCAGAACTTGCCCGGAGATGCCGACGTCAGAGCATCCGTCACCAAACCGACGAAGGTATTGTAATAAACTTCCACGTCCTCCACTGAGGATGAGTAAGCTCTAATCCCCGTGTCCACGTACTTCCCAAAGGCATCCCAATCTGTACGAACAGAGTGTAACCTGGCAGATTGTCTAGCCGGCAATGAAGTATCCGGGCGAAGCCCAGAACAAACAACAACCGGAAAGTGGTCGCTGCTCCACGAGTCACTGTCCACCTTCCACGAAAGCCGGGGGGCCATCGAGCTGTGGACGAGAGATCCAAAGCCGAGTATGAGCGGTAAGAGTCACTGAAGTAGGTAGGAGACCCGTCGTTCAACAGGATCAGGTCTGAATCTTGAATTGCTTCCCACAAGGCTTCTTCCACCGGACACGTGCGGGGGGAGCCCCAACCTACATGATGAGCATTGAAGTCTCCTCCAAACAGAACCTTTTTTGTACCAAACTGTGACAAGAACCTTTGCCACTCCTCAACTAACAAGGCCCCCGACCCAGGAGGGCGGTAGCACGCTACCAAGACCAATGGTTCACCTCGCAGAAAGACCTCCACCGCGCAAGCCTCAATCTTACCTCCGCAGTTGTACACATTGGACACCTTTCGATACTTGATTGAACGGTTGACCAGTATCAGGACTCTTCCTCCTGGACGCCCGATTCTGTCCTCTCTCACCGAATCGAATCCCTTTACAATAAAGGAGTTCGCAGGGGTGAGCCACGTTTCTGAAATTAAAATGAAATTATAGAACATGCAACGATAAATCAACTCAGTAAACTTTGGTAAAACCGACTTTGCGTTCCAATGAACAAGGCCGAACGGATCATGTTTAATCTTTGATCTCTGACTAGACATTGTTAATAGATACCTAACCTTCCGTACTTGTTAACTTAGTATGTAAACTAAGTGTATTACTTATGCGCTTGAGCAAAGTGTCAATATTATCAGCTCTCATTATTTGGTCCACCAGCTTGAGCACTTGTTCCTTAACTTCCTTTTCACAAAAACGGGACCCGGGCGGCCACATCCAACCCGATGAACTGGCTGATCTAGAGGCCACCGGAGCGTTAACCAGCTTAACCCCACCACGGCTGGGAAGGGGGGGGGAAGTTCTTCAGTGTCTTAACCGGAGCGGTCGTATTCCCAACTCCCTCCGTCCTGAGGACCACCGACCGGGCCTCGAAGAAGGGGAGATTATCAAACGCCATTACTCTGGAAATTTCTATCTGTCTTTTAAACATAGGGCACGATCGGTCCAGGGCCGCGTGCGTTCCTTTGCAATTGACGCACATCTTCTCGTTAGGGCATGGATTATCTCTGCCACTCTTGTGATTACCCGCACATGTTAAGCACCGTGGGTCGTTTTCGCAGAATTTACTCAAGTGGCCGAAACGGCCGCAATTAAAACACATCCGGACCGCCGGGACGCACGGTTGGATCGGGTTGACCGTGCGTAGAATGATGAGAGTCTCTGGATAAGATTCACCTGCCAGTTCCAAGCATACCGTCTCGGAATCAATCCATTCCCTCGTGGATCTGTCTCGTCGACGAAGTCGGAAGAGCTTCAGCAACATTACATTGGAGTTTTCATCTTAAATAAGTTGTTTCAATTCTTCCAGGGGCATATCCAATGGGATATCCCTCACCAGGACCTTCCTGCTGAGTTTATATCTCGGGATGAACGCATTCATTCCCGCCTCTTTTACATATCTGTTTGTCAGAAAAACGTTGGCCGTTACTTTAGATGGGAAAACAGCCTTCCACATGTCTCGACCGCACCTGTGAACGCTTGTGAATTTCAGGTTAGCTGACGTAAGTTTCTTAGAGATGGTAAGGAGAGAGATCTTCCTCTTCCTCGTATCAGGGGATGTTTGAATGCGAAAATGAACCACAAAGGGAGCTTGGGTGAAAGCCCCGTACTTTTGCGGTAAATTATCTCTTACCGTGATAGAGGATGTCCCGGCCTGTGCTGACTGAGAAGTCGGCGTCGAGGCACGACGGGGGCCCTTTGCGTCAGGTGTCTCTACTAACTGAGAGGGTGAGGGTTCCTCACTGTCTGTTCTCCTTTGAGCGACATGAACATTAGCCGGATCCGAAGGTGTCGCCAAGTCAGAAACCGTCTTCTTCGTACTTTTCTTACTTTTTGCTGCGGTCATTCTCGAGCTTCGGACCAGTGTTGCTAGATCGGGCCGGCCAGCACCAAGAGCACCGAGATGGTGGGGGCACGCATACAGCGAGAACCGCCGTCCGTGTGCGTGACGTCACGCTCGGCTGTTCGGCTCGTGAAAGAGCGCAGACATACTATGTTCT